TTGATTTATAGAATATTCTATATGAACACTTGAGAAAATGACTGTTTCTTATTCCTAATGTGGCATATTATAGTCGTGTAATGATGGGCTCTAATAGCATCTGTTTGCTGAGGTTTTTTCTAATCTTTTCATATGCAGATTTGTTTCATAACCTATTGAGCCTTTTGCATTGTTCTTGTGTTTGGGTGGCTCTACTTGTTGCTAAAGTTTTCTCCCTCTTGGTTGCTAGGTCTACAAAGTATTGAAGTTATTTTCCAAAAGCTTTACTTTAAAGTTTAATAGTAAAAGTAAAACACAAACCCTTTCTCCAGAATGATTCAATGTTTGATTTCTTTTCATTATTTTATATGCGGCTTTTGGAACATATTTGAAGAGACTTTACTTCTATTTCAAACTCAACCATAAAGACACTATTTGGCTATCACTATGTAACAGTAGATAGTGATCTGTATAGAGCCTTCACAGTGTTCATTACTAGATATCTCACACTCTTCACAAATAAATCAGTGTAAAATATTTCGCCACTTTTTATAGTACTTTAATAATAAATGACAGCATTAGAAAAATTACCACTGACAAGTAAGTGGAGTTTTCTAATTTTCAAAAGTGAATTCTACATTTTTTTCTATACTTTTAGGGAATGGTGTACAGGGTGTTCAGGGTCTTACTACTAGATCAGACTCATAGTGATTCTCCTGTTTACAGTATCCCATGTGCTGGGATTACAGGTGCATGCCACCGTGCCCAGTCTCAATGGTCTTTTCAGGGAGCACTGGAGGTGGGGCTGGTATGGCAGGCCTGGGGATCAAATCTGTGCAGGCGCTATAATCTGCTGAGCTATTTGGCCAGCCCTGTGAATTCTGTAATATTAAGAGCATGTTCAAATATGATGTCAACAGGTTTTCATATCCCATATGTTGTTTTTATATAAAAATGGCAACCTATGATTAACAGTAAGATTAGATCTTACGTCTCAGCCTCCAGCAGCTTTCACTCAGTTGTGGCATTATAGCCCAATAGCAGACAAGAACACCAAAGTTAAATGATTCCCTTAAGTTGAATAGTTGATACAGACTGCAGTAAGAACATGCACAATGCTTTTAACGTAAGTATTCCCCATAAACATTTTTGAAGTGGGTATATCTTACAGAAACTTACATTGTAAGGCCGGCAATATAGCTCAGTGGATTAAGTGCTTGCTTAGGTAAATGCAGGAGCCAGGGTTCGACTGCTGGCACTGCATGCCGCTTCATCCCCTCCCCTAGGCATGCTGAGCCATCATTGATGGAGTCTGGGCATGGTGGTGCATGCCTGTATTTCCAGCACTAGGGATGCAGAAATCAAAAGGATCACTACAAGTCTGAGCTGCATAGTGAGACCCTGCACACAAACACA